ATATGAATCTAAAATAATAAAAAAAACATTTATAATAGTTAATGGAACTTTATCTTCTTCAATAATATATTTTCTTCATGTAAATATTTAATGAACTGAAACGTTGATAAAATGGCTTTTAAATGAGCATGCATTGTAACCCATTGTACAGTTAGACTTACAAGAGCCATTAACTGCCTTTTTCAGCCACATTTGTAGTTGCTCTTTAAGTTTCAAAATTAAGAGTGTTTATCCTCTTAACTACTGTATATACAGTAGTATGTTGAAAGGGTGACTATTATAGTAACTAGTAAGAACTAGAACATGCATTTTTAGTTAGATCAATCAGAATGGTTTACATTACTTATTTCCTTGTTCCTATTCAGAAAAGGTTTTAGAGTGTGAGTTTGGAATGGAAAATGTTTAATTAAATGAATTAAGATTATCATGATGACCGTGAGTTCAAAGATCAAAGGCAATAATAATGTGACACCCAATAACACATGACAGAGATATTTTCCTGTGTTCATTCATTTACCTTATTTGCATTTTTTCTTTCCAAAGCTGGGTAGGAGATACCGACAGAATAAAATACAGTACATTCACTTGTATGTGTATATTGCAAATGCTCACATTGCTCTGAATGGAAAGGCATACTGCCCTTCTGGGTTGCTTGCTTAATAGGAGTAAATTTAACTTAGGACCGCATTCAACCATTTCTTGAAAGATTACATTGAACCAGCTAAAGACACAAGAAAAAAATTGATTGTTTCAAAAATCCACCACTCATTGTGAAAAGAAGTACAGATTATTAACAAAAAATATCAAAAGAGCAAATACGCACATACATTTTTTTGGCTTGCCTGAGATGTCTCCTGTTATCCTGGTAGAAAAAAAAACAACTAAATTAATTGATTAGACCAATGACCTTTCTCCAGCTAGAAATCATTATATTCTCATTGGGCTTCATTAAGTAAGATATACAATAGAAGGTTCCCCAAGAGCAACTACAATACAACAAATAAAACACTGCACTGAAGCAGAATTTCTCAACTTGCGAAATGTAACATGAAACAGATAGTCACAAACTGTAATTAATACCTGGAGGCTGGACCAGTGTCACTTGCAGAATTAACAATTTAGCCCCTAGAAAGCTAAAACCAAATGTGAAAAGCCTGCCATGAGCCACAGACCACAGGGCGTGGTTGTTGTACTGAAAGTGCACTGATAATCACTCTGGCAAGTCATCTCTTTTTATTGTGGTCTTATTTTCATAAGGGGACTGTGAAAATGATTATTCTATGCCATTGATATTGTGAAAAGTACATTATTCTCAATCAAAATTCCCTGTGTAGCTCACTTCTGGAGCGAGCAATTCTGGACTGTCCCTGGAAATCCAAGATGTGTGGCTCTCTCATTATGAAAATTAACTTTATAAATACCTTTTATCAATATATTTTTCTTGTAATGCACTACCATTTTCACTACATTGAAAAATGCAGATTTTTGTAGATAATTGGATTCATCAGAAAACCTTAACCTTAAAGAGACAATCTTTAAATACAGTATTGCTGTTTGTCTCAAAGAATGTCATCATACTTGTTGATCTTGAGCTGTGATTGCCTACAGAATATTAATATACCGTAAATGTGTTAAAGAGGTTGCTATTTAGGTAGTTGTTAAACTTCACCAGCAGGTGGAGCTCATAACCGCTGTGCTGAAAATTAGGTAGAAACTTCCAAATTACTTGGTTATACAACAACCATTTTTTATATGCTCTGAATAGCTTGTTTACACAGCTCCTATTCTTTGTATATGGGTGTGGTCTTGTCCAGTCGGGGAAATCCCACTGGGCCATTTTCATGTCACAGTAAATTGTGTCATAAGGTGGTAAAATATGGCCGTGTGTGAAGGGTATAACTCCTATCTAAAAAGTCAAGACTCTGCAGGAGTTTTTATACTTGTCTGTGCAAATACAACCTTAATATACAGTATGAGCCCCAGCAGAATGTTTTGACTGATTTATGTGAAATTGTCTTCATTACCCATCTTCCTTAAACACCTCATAAAGAGGCTGCACTGCACTTAATATTTCACAATGTGTGATTGAGTTCCTATCTTGCAAACAGCAGAGGATCCTTTCTATTGGTGTGGACGAGCTATCCGCTGTCTAGGAAGTGATGCTGTGTGTGCTCGGAGTCTGTGAGTGGCTGCGCTTGTCATAGACGGACAATGCTGCTTATCCCCTTCGTGCATCTGGGTTCAGGATCTGGGCTCTTTATCCCCATGTAAGTTATTTACCTTTTCCTTTAGTGTTTGATTTACATTGCACATCCTTTTTTTCACTCCTCTCCCTGAATTGACATACAGTGTGATACTGCTTACTGCCTAACAAAGTTCTTTATAATGGTGTCTGATTAATCAGTGAGATTTCCAACTACTAAAATCAGATCTTTCTCCCCTGACACTGGTGTTAACTGCTAAACGGTTCAACTGGCATCTTTCTTTTCATGTTCTGTGATGTTCTGTCTTCCTGAAATAGGCTGGAATTCTGCAGTCTGAGGCACCAGCTTGATAAATCATTCTACACCACTATGCTGCTTCCTTTTTGATATTTTGCTTTGTGCCTAGTTGTTGATAGCTTGCACTCATACTAACTTTTCAGTGTCTTACATTTCATCTCTGAGTCAGTGCTATTCTCTTTTCCTGACAATACAATTCAGTGCACTGCAGTGAAATAAGTTGAAATAAAATCTGTCATACTTTGATGATCCAGGGAGACTTCAGTCTAAAAAAAATAATTACCAAAGGGTTTGCACTGCTGTTTTCAGTTAAAGGTTTCTCAAGGTACAAGATTGGTGAAAGGACACACTCATTAACTAGAATGCTATCAATGAAAGGACTGATGCAATATTTTATAGCCAAGAGACTGAACATTTTGTCTCATGCAAGTGTCACTAAAACTAGAAGAATGGTCTCATGGATTTAAAAGGTATAAAAGTTGGGATAGGAGGTTGGTACTGTAAAGCATGGTGCAACGGTAGTGTGGCTATTAGCTCTGCTGTCTCTGAGCTCTTGAGTCATGGGTTTGATTCTGGTCAGTGGTTACTCTGTGTGCAGTTCGCATGATCTCCTGATGTTCCAGTTTCTTCCCACAATCTAAAAGATACTATATGTTGTCCTTGTTAATTCCCCCATGTGCTGTACATACAGTATGTGTTTGCCCTGTGGCAGACTGGTGTCCAGTCCAGAGTTTATCATGCTTTGCACCTGCAGTACAGTGTAGTCTGTCAGTCTGGGCTCTAGCTCACTGTGTCCCTGTATTGGAATATGTGGTAACTGAAAATGGGGGAATACAAGCAGAATGTTGTTTTTATTTTATTATACTTGGGGTGGGGGCTGAGAGAGAGGAGCTGGGGTTCCTGTTAAATGAGGAAAGTATGAGTCATCTTCCTTGACAAAGTGGAAAAGCAATGCCTGTCTTGTAATATAATAAACCCGAGACCTGTAGTGTAGCAATAATTGGCCTCATGAAAGTTAAAGTGGGAAGCTGCGTCAGCTCGCGTTAGCTGAAAAGAAACAAGTAAAGGTTAATTCCACACTGGGAACTAGTGAGAGAAAAAAAGTCTCAATAGCCTGAAATTTTCTTTTTCTACTTCAGTGTGGAATTCATCTTCACTTGTTCCTTTGATTGAATTCTAGTTCAACAGTTAAAATCAATGTATTTATTTATGTAAATATTTATTTTACAGTTTGTCAGTGTGTAGCGGCTTTATTCAAGCGGAATTAGAAAAGACTTGCATATGATTGATCTGTTCAGTTAAGTTGTTATGATATAAAATCACTTTCCCAAACCAGAGCCTCTCACATTGCAAACCATCTGTTCCACTTTCAACTCCCTCCCGGTACAGTATATTCAGTTAAGAGCTCTTTAACTCCATCTTGAACTTTATCTCTTTATCTACCACCTAGCTCCAACTGAATAGCACATCTCCGTTAGGTTAGAATTTGCTTCGCAAATAAATTGTTTTTATAACTTGGAGGAATTATGACTAAAACTTGATTAACGTTAGCGAACAATATCAGCTGTGTGCTGTAAACTTTGAAAAGAAACACTGTTTCTGGAAACATTTAGTTTTTTTAATAGATCGACGAAAAAGAAACATAAACCACTCTCAGGACTTCATTAAAAGTGCATTTTTATTTATGGGTGAGAGACATTTATCGTGCTTCGATATTTGGAATGATAAAATACTGTACGCACTTTTATATATTTAATTAAACTACGTTTTTCAAATAGTACAGTAAGAATATTCTTGTTAAAGAACATGTAATAACCGAGGAAGAGTGCTCCAGTGTCCTGGACAGCTGTGATCTACGTTTTAGGTAAATGCTAAAGATTTAGGCAGATACTGTATTACTCAACTACAACTGCAGTTCAGAAGAGAAAGAGGAACTCGTCACCACGAAAGACAAAACGAATCAGGAAATGCAAAGTTTTCTAATCAAATTTACCATTTCATTTGAAAGCTGGTGAGGCTTAGTAAAATTCGGAGTTTTTGAAGATAGGTAAGTGTTAGCTTATACACCTTTTAATATCCATTATAATAGGTGTATTCAGGTGTACGAGCACAGCAAAATACGGTCCGGTGTAAATGGGATTCTTGTTCGGTTTCTGAAAGCTAGCCAGCAGAACATTCAATGTCTACACAAATACAGAAGAGTCCAGCACCACTGCAGTGAAGAGGGATACCTGTAACCTTTTCCCCAAATGTCGAAACTTTGTAACTAGGCTGTTCCAGGGTGGATGGTACTGTATGGTATTTGCTACCGTTCTTCTAACCTGTGTAGGGCTTATCACATATCAGTAGTAGGGGAGGTACTTTAAACTCTGCACGCTATTGGAAAACGGGATCAGGAAGTTAATTAATTACTCTCAAGGCCCAGTAATGTTAATAGACTCACGGGTGTGCAGAGCCAGCCTCGATTAGACGGGACGTGAGTAAGCTGTACATTTGCTTTTGTATAGTATTGCATATCATATTTGCCCAGAAGCGATATTAACGTTTTTATCAGTTTTAAACCTGTATTACGGGAAAAAATAGTAAACCATGCTTGATCTGTACAGTACATCTGCTAATTTCGAAATCTTCTGTGTCACTTAATCATAATTTTGCTGAATACAGTTCACAAGACTTTATGTGTTTTGATGTTTGTAAGGCAAGGATGATGAAACAAGATATACTGTAAGTACGGTGAGGCTACAATATAATCTTACATTCTCACCAGATGTGTGGTGAACAGGCAGTATTCAGGAGGGTGGAAATACAAAAATAACACTAAATGTGATTTAAAAAATCAGACTGAACCAATGTTTTAAAATGTCTGCTTGTTAGCATGATTTGGCAGCAGCATGGAGCAGTTATTAGTGCTGTGGACTCCAGGGGGTTCTGGCTGTAAGTCCCATGGAGTTTCACTCATATTGCCTCTGTAAGTTACCTGCTGTATAAATGGGTGCAAGCTGTCATTGTAAAAGAGAATTTGTTCCTACAGTAGTTGACTTATCTGGTCAAATAACAGATTAGGTCTTTAGGTTTACTGACACAGAAACTGAATGCTGAACTGAGTAGTGGGTGTAATCAGTTTATTTTATTCCTTAAGACATTTTGGTGGATTAGTAGACATAAAGATTGCCTTATGAAGGCTGAAATGTAATCCATAAATTAATTCCGAACAGTGTTTTTTATGTAGAAATAAAATAAAGATTTAAATAAATTCCCATTTGTTCCACGAGTGATAGAAATAGTTCATAGCTGGAAAGAAACCAGTAATACAAGGCATCTTTAAACTTTTCTGGAATCAGTTAAAAGAAGATTCAGTTAATTCCAGCCATTAAATTAAAGAATAAGGGAACCACGTTTATCCGGTTTTGAATAGAGCACATTATGTGGGAAGTGATATAATCATTTGAAATCCTGAAAGCTATAGTCAGAGTCAATACAGAGGACTACTTCAGGAACAATAGTGAAATAAAGGACAGAAATGGAAATTAAGAAGTGCTTTTAAGACTGAAAATATGAAAATATGAAAATATCTCAAACATATGTTGATATCTAGACTCAAGTTATCCAGACATATTACTGATGCACAATTATTTCAGGAAACACATACAAAAGCAGACAAAAGAAGAAATTGGGCCAGATGGCCTCCTGGTCTTATAGTGTTCTTGTATAACAGAGTAACCCTTTGCCACACCGCCACTGCTGGTTAATTTCTCCTAATTATTAAATGTGGTAAGCCTATTCCTTCATATGCTTTCAGGATATCAGACCTAGAGCTTCAGAGGCCTGCAGGTGGTGACACACACTGGCATTTCTACATTCCTGACATCTCATCTCCTTTATCGTAGCATCCATTTGTGCAGCTATGGAGACCTTAAATGGCAGGTCCCTGGGGGAGTTCCTGGAGCACATTGCCTTAGAGCTCGGCTGCAGCACCACAGCACAGGATGTGGCACTGCATCTGGATAAACATGACGAACTACGACATCTGAGAGAGCAGTTCCTGGTCCCTAAAGTCAAGGACTTGCCACCAAGTACGTGTTAAAACTCGTAATATTCTTGAGCCCAAAGCAGAGTGTTTTCAGTGACAATGTACAGTAAGTGTTCTTGGTTAGGAAAGCAGAGATGTTTTTACATTTTGCCCCCAGAGGTTATACTTTATATATTAAATATGTGCCCTCATAAAGAGAAGATTCTGTTTTCAGTCACGAGAAATACCTTGCTCACATTGTTTTGCAATTAAAATGGTGAAAGTGAGTCATTTTGATCTCTGAGTAATCATGCTGCATGTTTCAGTAAAGACGTAGGATGGGTTTATTGGGCACTTTTTAGGTACTGTATCTCTTGCTTTTAGCTTTGGTGCCATTAATAATAAGAGAAGTAAATATGGTGCATGTGGAACACTTGTTTTATGTGTATAAATTTGTAAAGTAAAGAACACTTACAGTATGCAGCAATCCTCACAGCTTGCTTTATTCGGGTGATGGGCCTTTAAAAGGGGCATGCTGATACTGTGCAGCTGAAAAGAAGAAATGTACAATAATTGCCTGTTTGCCACCTCAGTACCACTGAGACAAGCACTATGGAGCTGGGCTGTGTTTTCCTGCTGAATAGACTTGTGCTTCTGTGAACTGCCCCAGCTGTGCTGACACCCCTCCACCTTCTCCTCCAACACACACTCTGAAAGCATCATAGTGTAGACTGGGGTCTCGCTCACTGTACCATCAACACGTTTATGTTCGGTTTCTAAATGTAACCCTTACTGAGCAATAAAAATATGAACTATTGAATAACTCAGTATACATTTACATGTAATGATGATAAATCATCATTTTTTACTGTATGTCTTTAGGTGAATTTAAGATGAATAATCTCCAAACAACAGGAATGCTCTTAAAAAGGCATCCCTAATTGTGCCTCTGAGGCTCACTGACCATATACTAACCTAAACAGAACGTTGCTTGTAGTACTATCATACAGGCCAGTACTGAAGGTCGTTTGGGGGAGCAAGGGATAGTGATCAGGACTCATATCTAGTTAATCCCAAGGAATAGCAACACATAAAAATTAAGTGTATTGAGCACATTTATTTAATGTTTAGTTACAATAAATTTGTCTTAACCTGCTTGGCTGAGGCCAACCTCCTGGTGGTAGGACGTGGAGACTAGGACCCGGCACGCGGAGTGAGGAGTGACCAACTGGACACAGGATGGAGGGGGGATGCAAAGAACAAGTGCGAAGGAGTAAAAGATTTCATAAAGCATCTATAGATTTTTCCTTTTCATTGAGAAAATGGCGTCAATAATGATTATGATTTAGAACAGATGAGGCGAATTGAACTTGGTTGCTGCCATCCCTCCAAGGCACAAACCTCAGCTGGGACACTGCTTTTGTGCCCTTGATTAAGGTACTCTGCTCTGATTGCTTCAGTAACATGCCTACCTGCATAAATGGGTACATGTGTAAATAGCATTAGTTAAAAGCTTCAGCCAAATTCATAGTAACCCAGTAAAAGACTGCATTTTACTGGATTGCTCATATTGCTCATGCCCGCCTGTGGCAGTTGTCTTAGCCAACTGCTTCATGTCACTGAGCTTTGGATGAGATGAGAAAATGAGGTACATGGTATCGGGGCACTCATATGGTGCAGTAGATGACTAGTCTATACAGTAATATTGCCATGTAGGTTGTCCCTCATGTGGCTGTGTATGGAGGGAGAAATGATTTCATTTGGTAAGATACTTCAGCCCTGAAACTTGTCTTGTTTCTTTAGCCGCAGTACCACATAGCAAAGTTACCGTACAAATGCTGATTTCAAGCATGACCCTGCATTTCAACACTAGATTACCTATTCATGAGAATGGCACTTCATTAATACTCTTTCTTTCTGTTAATAATTCCAAAGCTGACCTTTCAGTCGTGGATGGAGATGAGGACTCAATATACCTTGTGGGAAACTCACTTGGGTTGCAGCCTAAAACAGTAAAAAAATACATTGATGAAGAGTTGGATAAATGGGCAAAAATGTAAGTAACTTTACACATTTTAAGATTCATACAGTTCTCATTGGAAATTCCGGTAATATTCTGTATAATTATGATTTTAATGTTTATACCCATTACCCAGTTTTTTAACATTCATTCCAGTGAGTATTTCTTAAACATTTTAAATGAGATATTACTTTATGGTATGATTTCAGGGGAGTACATGGTCACTTTGAAGGCTCCCGTCCCTGGGCTTGTGCTGAAGACTGTGTTGTAGAACTCATGGCTAGAGTAGTAGGTGAGATTTTTTAATCCATTGAAATAAATAACTGTGTATGTTTGTGTTTATGCTTGTAAGTGAATTTTTAAAGCCATACTATTATGCAACTTTGCAGGTATAAGGAAGCATTAATGAGAACTTCTAATTATAACCATATGCTTTGTCATGTCAAATACTTTGACTATAGAAAGAAAGCATTCAAAGTGTGTTGGGAATTGCTTAGTCGATATGAAACAGAAACTACAGGTAAAGTGTGAATGTTCAAATAGGGGTGATGTAATTAGCAGAGCACTGCAGGGATCTGTGTTAAATTTAAAAAGTCAGGCTGAGTCTAGAAAAGTCATTTTTGTGTTGTTTATTTTGATTCCTCATTGATATAAATTCACTATTTCAATCAATCAAAGTTTATTTATCAAATGCACAACAATACAGTGTGCAGCAGTAGTTGCTGGCAATGAATTTTCTTTTCTATGAGCTCACCGGGGGGAAGGGGGTTAAAAATCACAGAATTAAAGTTACAAAATAAGGTTACATAATAATAGTGCAGTAGAAATTGAATAAGCTAAACTCAGACATAACTCAATATAAATAGAGCTGCGTCCAGGGTGTATGCAATACATTATGTCCAATTAAAACCAAGTAGTGCAGTAGGCCGAATACAATGAACACTGTGTGTCCATGTAGCCATTATGGGTGATTTGCTAAAGGAGCTGCAGGTTGGCTGTTTAGCAGTCTTATTCCCTGGAGGTAGAAGCTGTTCCGTAGTCTGTTGGACTTTGACCGAATGCTTCAATACCGTTTACCAGACGGTAGGAGAGAAAACAGTTTGTGACTGGGATGACTGAGGTCCTTGACAATAGACCTGGCCTTCTTAAGACATCTACTGTAGCTGAGTAGATATCCAGGATGTTTGGTAGCTCACAGCCGGTGATGAGCTGCGCTGACTTCACCACCCTCTGCAGGGCTCTGCGATCCAGGGCGGAGCAGCTCCCGCACCAGGCAGTGATGCAGCCAGTCAGGATGCTCTCAGTAGTGCACCTGTAGAAGCTGGGCTGGATACTGTGTGTGACGGCATGCCGAACCTCTATAGCCTGCGGAGGAAGAATAGAGTAGAGGAATTTGTCTTCTAGATAATGATTATGATCTTCTGGATAATTTCAAAATGAACATTAAAACACAAACCATAGGGTACAAACAGAAACTATGTGGAAGTGCATTTAAGACCAAGAACAGGAGGCACTACTTCCCTTAAATGATTTTTTAGGGAATATGCTGTCCAGACGTGTTGTTGAAGTTGATTCCCTGGATTCTTTCAAGAAAGGAGTGGATGAGATCCTTAGATCAACTACTTACTACCAAACATACTAGATGCTCCAGATGGCCTCATTTCATGTCTAACTTCTCTGATGTTCAAATGTTTTAATGTGGGGAAGCATTAAAAATGGGAAATAAAAGGTTAAAATACAGTATACTGTATAATTAAATGTGTTGATTTAATTGAAGTTTTATTGACATTCTACACAAATAATACCTCATCTGAAGTATTATGCACGATTGTATTGTAAATTTACAATAAATTTACCAGATATATTCCTAGGCCTAAAGGAATGTCCTACACTGACACTAAAGGAAAGTCATGTTTTTAGTCTTGAAAAGTAAAGACTACAAGGGGACCTTATTCAAGTATTCAGAATCCAGAAAGACATTAAAGAAGTGAACCCATTGAACATCTTCAGAGCCAACAGAAAAACATTAACCTTAACATTAAATATTGAGGATACAAGTGGATACTATGGAGAGGTGCATTTAAAACCAGGAAAAGGAAAAAATGTATACCCACGGGCTTGTGGGAGTGAAAACAGGCTACCCAGCCACTCTGTTGAAACTCATATGCTTCCAAGGAACAGCTGGATGAGATATTTGTCTCTCTTTGCTAGAAGCAACACGATGAGCAAGATGGGCCACATGGCCCCCTCTCTTTTGTGTTCTTTCCTAAATTCTTCAAAGGCAAACATTAAGTTGTAAAATCATCAAGGTTAAAAAGGCTGTGTGTGGACAGTAAAATCTTTAATTTACTTTTCGACAGGAGCAAAGACTGAAGAAGTGTCCCTGATGAATGGACTGACAGTGAACTTACATCTTCTCTTGGTATGGTGTTATTTAAAATTTAGTTGCTGCTGTTGTTTCTGGAGAAATTCTTTAATTAAAATTTTACTTGGATGTTGCAGCTTTCCTTTTATAAACCAACACCACAGCGTCACAAAATTGTCATTGAAGAGAAAGCATTTCCATCAGATCATGTAAGTGATATTATTTCCACTTCTTTTACCAATAAGTGACGTTACCAGTAATTTTACTTATTGTACAGTATACTGTATGTGTGGGAGGTCACTTGCCTTTTGTAGGTGAGTTTGTTCAGGATACATCAGGTCATTTAGCTTAGAAAAGTCAATATAGTACAGGTTTTTAATAAAGGATTTGAACTGCAAAGTTTATAATTTTGAAATAAAAATATTTAGTCCTCTTGGGTCCTGGGCTTGATTCTGGACTGTGTGGTCTTTATGTAAGTTTTTGTTAGGCGCTCTGGTTTCCTTCAACTTTCCAAAGACATGCTGGCATGTTTAACTGCTGTCTTTATATTGTCCCTGCATGCTTGCCTGTCTGTCCTATCCAGCATGTAGTCCCTGTGCTCCTGGGATAGACTTTCTGATAATGGATGGGTAGAAAAATATTTAGGTGTTTTTAGGACCAAAGTTTGACCACTGTGCTTAAGGTTGCTTTTTCTGCAGTCATTTAATTCTAATGTTTCAACTAGAACATCTTTTATCAATCCAGATATTGCTGTAATACATTTTCTAAGAAACACGTTTCAGACATTATAACCAAATGTCACTAAGGTTAAATTATTTTCTTGTTTGTCATATCTCTGCTCTTTGCAGTACGCTGTTGAATCTCAAATCCGGCTCCGTGGCCTTGACCCTCAGCACAGCTTACTGCTGATGAAACCCAGAGAGGTAGGGCTTCAGATCTGATAACAATCCAGAGTTTTTATCTTACAGGAAACACTATAAAGATCCCATAAAAAGCTCCTGCATGGAAAGCAAAACTGCAGATTTTACTTAAGATGTAATGAAAGCTATGCCCAAAAGATATTTTTTCAGTCAGCCTTTTATGCATGTGGCGATATGTTTTGGTATTGGTTAAGGTAAAAGTCTAGTGTGGTGCACTTGCAACTGAAAGGCTGTAGGTTCAAATCCCAGCTGTGGAGCCACTGTTGAGCAAAATAGTTCACTCAGACTGCATCAGCCAAATACAAGAAATTAATTTTAATAAGTTTTAAACTATAGTGGTCAGGTTACACATTGGTTACAGTTATTGAGAGAAAAATATTACTTTTGAAAAGCAATGAAGCCAGTAAAATCATTGTATCTAACATTTCTGTTTTTTTTGTTCTTCTTTTGAAGTTAATTAATTTTACTCCATTGCAATTCTGTGATTCAGTAGGGTCTGTCTGAACTGATGGGGTGCGTGAGACTGTTAAAAAATGAAGTGGATGCATGAAAAATGAGAGATGCAAGAGCAAAGAATGTTAGTAATGATGAGCCATAAATATGACTTCTCTTCCTTGTGCTTTCATCCAGTAATTACTTCTTGATATTGTGCAGAACTGGTTCTAAGTTATCATGCTTCACAAAGACTCTCTCTGGACTGATGTTGTTTGACCAGCAATGGCACCTTTCAAAATACACAGCGTCTCTTCATTTTCTCAGGGTGAGGAGACTCTCAGAACTGAAGACATTCTCTCCACCATTGAAAGGGAAGGGGACTCAATTGCTGTCATTCTGTTCAGTGGGGTGCAATACTACACAGGCCAGCTGTTCGACATGCCCACTATTACGAAGGCTGGTCACAAAAAGGTAAAATGTTTACTTACAACAATCATGCACAGTATATACTCCAATATACAGGATGTAGTATGTTTGGAGAGAGGCCTCAAGGTTCAAAAGCAGTGTTGTCTTTTGTGAAGATCCTTTTTTGCCTGTCTCATTTTCCCAGAGGGCATGATTTGATTTTGTATCTTTTTCTACTTCGTTCCACTGCGATCATTGTCAATTGATTGCAGTGTTAATTCCCACCCAGACTTACAGTAAAAATGTGTCACTGGGTCCAGGCAAAACACACTTCCAGGTGTCTTTGCAGAGGCTTGAAAGGGCTCAGCCCGAAATGGCTGCAAGTCCGACCTTTTCAGTTTTAAACCGGGGTGTGAGATTTTCACCACAGCTGGCAAGCGACACTTAAGGAAGTATCCATGCACACCAATACCAGTCTGTACGGTTTAAAATCTAAAATAAATTCTCAGTAGAAGTGTGAACAATTAACAAGTGAATAGTACTTCACTGATTGTCATGACCTCTGAGCTAATTACCTTTCATTTCTACTAAGGATACTCTTGAAAAAGACTAAAAAACTTGCAATGTTCTTCTCATTTGTTTGGTGCAAAGTTCCAGGGCAGAGATGCTGCACAGGAACATCTGTTATTATAACTGTCAGTTTGTCATCATATGGGCCCTGTAGCACATGTAATGGCACATTTCTGAACAGCATGTCTTCACTCTGCTTGGTTATTGCTGTATCACAATTTCAACTACCAGATGGCAGCTCTTAAAACAGTTTTGAACTTGATCTGGGCACTGTGCGTTACTATAATTATACTTACAATGTTGCTTTTTAATGGCAACATTTTCCTAGTGTGTTATTGTTGAAATAACGGTGAAACAAAGGAGTTGTTCCTTATTTTAAATTCAGGTCATAAGTGCTATATGGTGCAATGAAGTAGGAGAAATAATCGAGCAAAAAAGTAGGACTTTACAGCCATCTAGTGGTTGAGATTTCAAAATGAAAATGGCAAAAGCTGCACAAGGAAGATCCCAAAATTACCAGACAAGAACACACATATATTTTCCATGTACTGTATGTACAGAATAACATAATAAACTTAACACATGATTTCTGAAGATATTCTGTTTCATAATGTTTGCTAGTTATTTTGATTTCTCACATTTTTTTTTCAGATAATATGGAAGAGTAGCCTACATTTCTCATGAATGTGCCATTAAATCTACTCATTTGCATGATGTAAAGTTTAATTTTGATTGTGTTTTATGCAAAAGACCTTGAGGTTTCTGCGTGATGGAAGGCTTCCAGACTTAAAGAGCTAAAGAGGTCATTCTAAGAACCAGTTAATTTAGGCTGTATTGTATATGACTATCGTCCTGTTCCAGTTCACTAAAAAACTGTTTTGAATCACAAAATGTTAAATATGATTGAAGGCATTTATTAAATGATATTTCAGCTATGGGCATGTACAGCATAACTGAGTTTAATAAACTTCAGTACAACAGTGCTTTGTCATCATGCAAATCACAGCATAGCATAGTGCATTAATGTGTTGTGTAATGCAGACCAAACTGTGATATGTAGGATATGTATAAGATTATACTGATGTTTTGCTCATTAAAATCCCGTATCATGTTTAGCAGATGTACCCTTGCATACCAGGTTAAAGCTAACCTCATGATTTCTCCTGCAGGGTTGTTTTGTAGGGTTTGACTGTGCTCATGCTGTTGGAAATGCTGAACTTTATTTGCATGACTGGGGAGTTGACTTTGCCTGCTGGTGCACGTACAAGGTAGGACTTTGACTCATGCTACTGTAGGTCACCGAGGACAACTTCTTGCCTGTCAGCACAATTTATCCAGTAATCACCTGAAGCTCAGAGTCATTTTTTTCTTCATGTAGCCATGTTGCAGGTGTTTGGAATGTTTATGTAAATAATGTGTATGCTAGCCTTTTTTTAAGACTATCTTGATGTAAATGGTAGAAGAAAATCAACACACACAGGTGAAATTCAGAAGTCCCCAGCAAGAAGATTTTAAACCTCTTCCACGATAAAAATCTATCTAGGTTGTTACCTTAATCTTCTGTTTTAGGCTGTTCAGCTATTTTATTTTTAAAATTCTTGTCATAGTAAAAAATGATTGTGGCAAATTCAGGGATGTGGAATATAATATTTCCATACATTTATTTTGTCCAGTATATGAATTCTGGGGCTGGAGGTCTTGCAGGGGCGTTTATTCATGAGAAGCATGCATACACAGTCAAACCCACGTAAGTACTGGACTTCAACCTGAGCTACACTTAAGGAACTTTGTAGATATAGTTGTACAAAACGCATTATATATAAATATATAATATATAAACATATAATATATATTATATATTAATATATAATATATTATATATAAAATTCATTGTATCCAAAAAGAGTAAATCACCTATCCCAGAGCAAGTCATTTATATGGGTTCATGATTTATAATTTGTACCCCATTAAAATTGTATAATTTAATTTATACAATACACTTTGTAGATTTTATCAAGGGCTGAAACATTTCTAATCTGTCCCTATGTTTTTGTTTCTTTTCTTTTACTCTAGAAAGCGAATTATAATAAATAAAAGGCAAATTATAATAAATAGATATGATTATGAGCTTTAAAGTTTTTATGTCTTTTTAGGCTATTGGGGTGGTGGGGTCACAAGCTGAAAACAAGATTTCTTATGAATAATGGTAAGTGCTTGTTTTTTGGTTGTATCACCTAAAAAAGTTCTGTCTTGTTGAGAATTGAGAATCTTATTAAATAAACTTTGTGTCATTTCCAGTTATATTTCATAATCTTCCCTGTAATCCTGTATTTTAGCTCTTAACATTTTCCTCTGTCCAGTCTCAGGATTTTTTTACTAATTTAAACTAAAAGAGCTTCTAACACTGAACATGAACACAGCAGCTAACTGAAGTTATTTTATAGAAGGGAACATCCAGCAGGGTCAGTGTACGTGTGTTCAACCAGATTTCAGGCTGGGCAAAGGCACAAGTACAGAACAGATATTACAGTCTAAACAGCTTCAGGATCAGCGCCCCCCTGGCGGTGATTCCTGAATGATAGGAATGTGCCAGATTTCTTATAAGCAGCTTCCGAAGTGTCAAGTTTTGTATAACACTGCAGTGCTGATACATTAATTATTATACGGAAATGAAAACATTGTATGCACTGTCTGTTCAGCAAAGAATTTAAAGCTCGGTTTATTTCAAGCACGATGCTGCATTACAAACCTCTTCAAGAGGTATTGGGTATTAAACAAGGAGAGAAATGATTAATGAGCTACCACATAGATTATATTGTTTTAGCTCAGGAAGAGCACATGTATGCAAATTATTTTATGTTGAATTTAGCTACAAATTCATCTCAAAGGGAGGTTGAATTATATTGGGCTTGAGATTCCTGGTTTAGTTCAATTTCATATTTAAGCTTTAAGGGCAGTAAGAGGCTGCCTTAGCCTCACTGCTGTAAAAAGCCTTATTGATTTATTTGTTCATAGATTCCTAATCAAGTGAGCTGCCAGGGCTATGCAGTGTTTTCTGAGCCTGCATATTCAGCTTTTAACAGTGAATAATGTTTGCCTAATGGTGATGTGTGCTGATATGTCTTAGCTTATACTGACACCTAGTGGATCATGACATTGGAAACTGACACTAACGTATAATTCTCCATCCTTCGCCCCTTTTGCCATGTTTCTTCGACATGTGAGATGTTGGCCAGTAATTATTATACTGTAAATATCTGTTGATTTCATAATAGAATTTTGTAGTAATAACACTAAATACATTTTCACTACCTTAAGTAGTAGTTGCAAATGAATATTTTTTGTTAGCTTAAATAAATTACTGAAACACAAACTAATGGCATCAATATCACTTATTCCGGAGGAATAGACTTCTCCTAATTAAGAGTTTTTTGTGATTAACTGGTTTTGTGCGTAGAAATAATTATAAACTAAAAATAAAACAATAGTTGTATTCCTTTGTTAAAATCAGGCAAAATAAAAAAAAAAATCAAAGAGGAGGCCCCGAAGCAGCGTAACCCATCTCTTTAATCTCCTAGAAATGGATTTAAGCCCTGGAATAAATGGATACCGCTTGTCAAATCAGCCTGTTTTATTGGTGTGTTCACTGCAGGCAAGCTTAGAGGTAGGTTATACAGGTAATTCGTCTAGAGACATTTCTTGTGCAGAGCTATGTTAGAGCTAGCTTTAGCTGATCTTTATTTTAACTTGTACATGTAACAGAACACTTGCAACTGTACAGTAATTGGCATCACAGGGGGCCATAATTAAGTAATTCTAGCAATCAATAATACTGTATGTTTATCCAGTTATGTAGTCTGTTCACATTTTGTTTAATTGATCATTTTCAAGAATAGCAAGAGAGAAGGAAGCAGTACAAAGTGTTTATTTGTTTTGATTATGTATTATCCTCCTCTAAAGGAAATGAAAAGAGGAAATGTTTTGCTGAGAATTTACTGCCTGTGTACCTCTTAAAAAGATGGTCTGTGTTAACAGTTCTTTCAATCCTAATAATCTATTTTAATGCTGGTTAAACGTTATGTCATTCTTCCTGTTGGCCATCTTTAGCATGATTATACCGTATACTGTATGATTATTGTTTATAGAAGATACCATTGTCTGGGGCAACGTCCAATACATACTGTAATATAAGAAATTTACCTTGCAAGGTCTGTGCAAATAATGTAAGATAAATTGTATTAATCTAATTATTTCAACAGTGTAATATATAGTATATTAGCTACTACTATACATTTCAGTTTTCAAGCAAAAGAAAGTTCTGTGTTGTTTATGTTCTGTGTTTAATAAAACAGTTTGGCTTACTGAGTTAGGTGCTGCAACATGGAAGAATATCTGCATCCAAAATGTCTGAATTTTCATGCCCATTGATGTTATTCTTTAACTGAACATTTATTATGTCACATTTCAAATTTGGTTAAAAACAAGTGAAGAATGAAGGATGATACAGAACTGTAACAAGCAATACATTAATTAAAGGAACAGGTGCAATGCAGTTATTGACAGACATCACCAAGAAAAAAAAATTGTTAGCGTGCAGTTCGTTTTTTTGTATCAAGGCAATTAGTTTTGGATGGGTACCTTAGCTTTTATCTTACATGTTGTGGTTTTATCTCTACTGTTTTCATACAGTATATTGTGTATTCATTACATATGAATTATCAGCATTTAGGCAGCAGGAGAGGCCATCTGAGTCAGCAGCTGTAGAAGGCTGCAGGCTGTCTGACATCACATGGCCTCTATAAAAACAGCTGTTTGCAAACCTTTTTGGGCAGAACAACACCATTCAGCAACCACACTATTGATCTTATTTTTGTAAAATGTTATTCAAAGGGTTGTGGACATTTGGGACTTCATAGGACTATTGACGTTCTGACATGTGAGCCTGTTCTATAAAAAGATATTGCAGACTAGCGCACTGTTTATTAATCACTGTTCTGACATAATTGACGAGCAATACAACCAGATTCTGGAAATTTTCTTCTGGGTGTTTTATGTACTTTAACCTTAACTGTACTGAAATGTCTACTTTAAACAATTGAAATACTGTGAAATGATCTTTAAAAAAGAGCAAAAGAGTATCAAATAAAGCTTGTTTGTACAGGATTTTTATATGTTAGATAATTAGGACTGAGTGTGCAGCAGATATGACTTGCAAATGAGTATATATTGATGGGAATTATTAGAAATGCCAGCAAAATATATATATTCTCTATTTCATTGCCTTAACTCATTGAATAGGCATGACTTTTAATAAATTTCACCATTACGTTTTCAAGTACAGTATCTGTGATCACATAAACAGACAATATATAAAAACAATGACAGCTGAAATGAAAGTTGTGTATTGTAAAGTGCCCCTTACACTGATATGTTTTTCCTTTGTGGCAAGGTCTTCAATCTAACCAGTATGAAAGCCCTAAGAAGGAAATCTGTCCTCCTGACGGGGTACCTGGAGTATCTGATCAAGCACCACTATGCTCAAGATGAAACGGATCCAGACAAACCTTATGTCTCCATCATCACCCCTTCAAACACAGAGGAGCGAGGCTGCCAGCTCTCCCTCTCTTTCTCAGTTCCCATCAGGGCTGTTCACAAAGAGCTGGAGAAGAGAGGCGTAGCAGTGCGTGCTTTTCACTTGACATCTCAGTACCTTTTAACACACCCTTAGACTTTCAGGGGAGAGCTGCAGTAAATAGCACACAACAGTTGAATGGCACTTGCTTATTTTATAAGATATCTGTAAAATCTGTTTTTCATTCCCCTAATCTTGTTTGTGCTTGTTAATATGCAAGGCTCTGTTATGTAGGTGCAAAGAAGATTACCTGTAAACCACATTTAACCACTAAGAAGATCAGAAATGCAGCAAAAAGCAAAGTGTTTTAAAAATATATGGTAATAGGAACTTTCTTCTTTTTCAGTGCGACATGAGGGAACCGAATGTCCTGCGAATTGCACCAGTACCTCTGTACAACTCATTTAATGATGTGTACCGGTTTGTCAGGGTTTTGGGATTGGCTCTTCTTGCAAATAGGAGTAGATCTTCACAGTGATTTACCCGGAGTTAAAGACAACTTTGAACAGGTGCTTGGGCAGATTTTGATTCCTGTATTTAAAGAAATAAATTAAACTGCATATAATTTTAGCCTACTGTTTCCATTCTGAAGCTTTACCTTTGTGATGATTGTATATTCTGCTGCTAAATGGGGCTCCATTCCATAAATCAAGGTGTGGACTTCCAGTACTTTTCTCAGACAGCGATATTTAATGCTGCCCCCATTTTTTTTCAATAAATAATGATAAAGTCACACACACACACGGAGAACATGTCAGAGTTATATGTCGTAGTTTTCTCCGTTTTCCTGTCCTGTGTAAATCTGTGTATTTTCATGGGGACTCCTGTTAAAGACATCAAAAAAAACAATTCTTTCTTACACTGAATTCAATCCTTTACATAGTTCTCACTCTCAAGGACTGACTAATCTTCTTTCTCTCCATTCATTTACAGGTTTTCTTTTTTTAGTGCCTTCCACACTTCCCTGGAGTTTGTCTCCCAGTTCTCCAATGTTATCGGTCCGTACCTACTCTGACATCGTCTTTCTCTCGTGTTCCTGCTCCCTCCCCAGTTCACCCAGACACGTGAAGAAGGCTTCACCAGTGAAACGGCATTTTCTTCTTTTAACTGTTCATTTCATGTAATTAACCTCAACTTAATTCCTATTTCAATATTCACAATCTTAATAAAAATGTTTCGATTGACTGTTAAGGAAATTGTCTTTAACTGCATTACAGTTTCACATACTGTAGGCAGAACTTGGACAAAGATTATATGAAAACCTGGTTAAATGCTTTTAAGTTCTTCCCCTGGCTCCTGTTGAACAGGAAGCCCCATTTAACCCAGAGGTGAGACAAATAGACAAGACTGGATCCACAACAGCTAAGACAGATTCAAAACAAAAAATATATTTATCGACCTTTTACCAATCATATATCCATATAAAGGTAAATTATATTGTTTTACAATCATAAGGCAAATGGTGTGTACATGAAAAAGATTTATAACAGACCACAAGGGAGGTAGTCTGCTATCTGATACGGACAAGTATAATTGCTTCCTTTACAAAACTACAGTATTTCCCAGCTTGACTAGATGTAAATATTTGCATAGAAATATTTTTTTAATTGCCGGGTGCACTAAGAAAATCATCAAAGCACAGTTCGTCTTGTGGCGTCATAAGAAGGACATTCAAACACCTTTTGTGCAGTACTTGCAAACTTCAGTAGGTGGCATGGAGATCCAGAGAATCCAAGGCACACCGCAGACCCAAACCCATGAATCGGCATAAGGAAAAACTTAACAAACTTTAACAGACCATATTAATGTGCTTAGATTAAACATTATCTCCTATAATTCTTGAATCCTTGTCTAACACAAATTCCACACCAATTAAAGACAAGGGCTAGTGGGCCTCTTAACCTTCATTATTCCTAAATTGTACGAATTTAGATCAGGAACTGAATTTCTTACTCAGTATTGTTGAATATTGTTACGTCCCATTGTGTGTTCTGTGTGTGTTTTTTCTGTTATGTCCACACTGCTGACCTTTGATTGTTCTCCCTTCCCCATTGGCCAACCATCACACCACTGTTTCAGTATGATGTCATCATTAATTAGCCTCAGCCAATCAGAACACATCTTATTCAGCATATAACATGGAGGTTTTCAGCAAGGAGAGGCGTTTCGTTTGACTTCGGTCCTGTTCGGTTTTGGTTTTCGCTTCGCTTCGCTTCGCTTCGCTTCGCTTCGCTTCGCTTCTTGTTATTGCTACGGCTTCATTTGTTGGTTTGTTTTGCTTTGTGTGTGTTTATTTTCGTATAGCTTCGGCTTTGTTGTTTTGTTGGTTTTTTGTTAGTTTCTTTGTACTTTTGTTTGTTTGTGTGTTCATCCTTGTTTTGCCATTACCTTGCCCCAGTGTTACATGTTCAACTTTTGTGTTCTTTTGTACCCTGCTCCTGTTTATTACTCTTGTTTTCCCTTATTTGTATTCCTGGTTCACTTGTATTTTGTGTGAACTTTTGTATATAAGGTTAGTTTAGGTTGATGGGTACACTTACACACTTAGTTGATTTTGTATTAGTACACTAGTTTAGTACGGGTGAGTGCCATTTGTCTTGTATGGTGTTGGGTAGTCAGGGAATTATCCTCAATGTTACACCCCTTTTCCCCTAGACACTTGGGGTCGTAACAAATATATTTTTGATTTGCTTTTTTTTTCAACACGGAAACATTGTGAGACATTACATACTATATATACTATATACAGTATTTTTATACAAAGGTAGTTCCTGTTGCTTCTGGTAGTTTGCTCAGGAGCTGCTAAAATGATTTGTGTTTTTGTCAGTGAAGAAGAGAAAATTGAATTACTTGCTCACACAGTTTGTTGTGGAAGCATTTAAACCAAAGCAGCATGAGCTCATACAGGCTTTGGTCTCTTGACACCAGTGAAACACATCTCAACAAACCCACCGATGTCATGGACATATTATTCATCTATCAACAAAGAAAAAAAAGCATGAAAAAAAAACAAGGCAGAATGAAAGATAAAAATATGCTACTAGTCAGAAGAATCTCCCAAAACTCATTTAAAAGAAATGCACCAATGAAAGTTGTTTGGAAACTGCCGTCAACCAACATACTTCCGCCATCTTACTGAAGACTGGGCTGCCACTACTGCCACTCACAAGACCATCCATTCTACGTTATTCCTGTGTTTCTGCTTATCTTTAAGTATTCCTTCTTCTCAGTGTATTGTATACACAATATATAGGATTTCTTTTCGATTTTCAATCACTCCTGTTATTCTTGCTTCCCTTTGTTTTCCTCAACATCCTGTCCAACATACAGTACTCAGTCCTGAGGATCTCAAGCCTCATGGCTTTCTCCTTTCTCCACGTTCTTCAATTTAATTTTGATTCTTTCTTCTTAATTCTTCTGCTCATGTGCCCTGGCATCCAATTCGGCTTTGAACTCTTTACCCTGCTAGTGATGGTGCCGTCTCCTTGGCCCTACTGTAGGTCTGTCTGGCATCGTACCTCCAGCTAAGTCAGCAGGCATCCAGCAGCATTTAATGTCTACCTTCTCTCTCTGTTGCAATGTCTACCTTCTCATACTGTACCTGCACTTTTCCTTCTGTCACTTTTGTCTTCACTCTGGGGTTCTTCACTAGGGGTTCACTTGTTTCTCCATGTCTTATGACTAGGAAGCTATACCTCAACTAAGTGGGTAAAGTCAAAACGTATTATACTTATATACTCAACACATCCAGGTCTTAAATGTTTCTATTCCTTCTGAACTCCTTGTGAACTTTTTTATAATGCGACTCACCCACTTTGGCCAAAACCATTTTCAATTTATCCTCATACTGTAGCTTTCAGCATTCCATCATTAACCTTTGAAAAACTAACCTTCTTTCCAATTTCAATCATTAGTTGAAAATAATGTCTTTAAATCCATTGGAAACAGACAAATTAGCATTGGATAATTATACCATTCCTGTAGAGCTTTCAGAATTAGTTCTCTGATGCTGTAAAAGCTTTTGAAAGAGATGTACTGGATGAATAAGAGCACATATGTATAAATATGATCACCTCCCTCACCTGTTTGATGCTCAGAGTAAAGCTTTGAACATCCCTTCCTGAAATGTTTTGTGTCTCTTTTAACAGAAAGCTTATTAGATTAAATTAAATCATGGATAAGGTTTGAACTGTGTCTTTAGACTATCTGTTCCATTTATTGTACAATACATTATATTAAAAAAAAAGTTCAGTATGCTTTCCAGGCCTCTAGAGCTTGGTATGGAAACCTCTGTTCACTGGTACTTGTTTAAGATATGTTTTGAAATTGATAGTTGCTAAAAAGAGACAGAAAAGGAGAAGTGTAACAACAAATATGGCTTGGTTATCTGCAGCAGTTTCCTGGTTAGGAAGGTGTTTAAAACTACTAAAGAAAAAGACTAGAAAAATAAGCAATCTTACAAGATGTGATGGGTCTTTTCTTTGATTACTGTGCATCTAATAATTAGAACACTGTTTCAGTTAGTCTATTTCTGCACATAAAATGCTTCCAGGAAGTGGTTTTTGAGTTGCAGGTTTTTGGTATGAAGTCTGCAATTCACCCAACTGTGTGCTGAGCCAGAGAGAAGCAACAAGGTTTTGCACACGTGATGCAACACACTTCCTCACTTAAAGGAACCTTTTTCTCTTGAGATTAGTAAAAATTCAATTGACCAGACAACTGGCGCGCATTAGGTAAGAGACCTTAATTCAATTCCTTTTACATTTTAGTGAACGTTTACATGAGGCACCTGTATAATTAAGGTCCTATTAGGGTGCAAATATTCATACCTCATGGTTTTTTTTTTATTTTAACTTAAAGATGCCCTGAATGTGTGATAGTGATCAAGATAAAGTTTCAGAAAAAAACAGATGCCCCAGTGCTCTGCGTACTAACTGTTGAGGGCCTTCTGCTGACACGTTACCGGAAGACTAATGATGATCAACTAGGAAAGATTCACCACTGAGATCTGTTTAATATTTCATAGCTGGTGTGTATTTTTAAATGCTACTGGGGGATTTCACATCGAAACAGTTTCTCAATCGGTACTACTAGATGTTTTTTATGTTCTTGCTTTTTGAAATCTCAGCCATGTTACAGTTTAAGACTAAAAAGTTTATGCGAGAGAATGCAGTTAATTCTCTCTCTCTCGGCCAGTACAGATGTTTTGTTTTCGTTTTTTCAAAAACAATGGATTAAACCAATTTTACAGAATACTGGGACACAAACATATTGAGAGAATCAAAAACATTTATTCCTTTATTGTTGTTTGAGTAGGATGGCTGACATTTGTTCTTTATCCTATGAACAATTGTCTTTATCATCTCTTATCTTTATCTTTAAAACATTAGGAATGTTTCCCATGAGAGACTATTGAGCCCATTAAATGTATATCTAGCTGTTTACATACTGAAAGTGCTGTGCAATTGTACAGATTGTACAAGAGATTTCTCAAGACATCTCTTTCAACAGGTGCATAACATTGAACCAATATTTTTAGCAAATTCTTTCAGATGTTACGGATTAGCAAATTGTGTTTACAAAGAGATTCTGCTTCTCAACTCAGAGGGGAATTTGATGTATTTTCTAAGTCATTTCATCAGCTAGGGCTATACAGCAGTACAATAACCAAATAAATCTAATTTTAAAAGTACTTGTAAAATGAGAAGTAAACTTGCATACTAATATTTGACAAAACACATTAACTCAATCTCATTCTGTCATTCAATCTGAGGAACACTTTTTTCTCCAAACTTTCTCAGCTCTTTGTACTGAAAACTCCTGAGAATCCACAGCATTTCCAACCTGTTTGTAACTTGTAAAGATTTTTTTCGATGCAGAAATACAGAAATGAGAAACAAAATGCTTCAGAACACCTGAAGAAAACTCCACAGCCCAAACTTTGTGTTTCTCCTTTCTATTATTCTTGACCTTTATTTGTTCCCTTACAGCCATGTTGGCATGCTGACACAGCTCCCTACTGCTTGTTTCATTGTGATGTTTGCAGAAAGAGCAATGACAACAGCCTGTATGATGTTAGGTGGTAGGATACCACTGTACTTGTACTTGCCCAGATTTGGATACTTAATAATGAAATTGATCTTGAATTTAAACTCTTCCATATTTAAACAATGCATTAGGTAATTATTAACATATAATGTATTTTGCCTTTTTACAATTATTGCATACTGTTTTAGATTAGGGATGTGGTACTACTATATATTACACAGATGTGAAGAAATTATTTTCAGATATTCCTTTTTAAATTATACAGTATATACTTATATGCATGTCTCATTCTTTTTAATATTAAAGGATTTGAGGATCAATAGAAATATGATTCTATGCATATTTTTAGAAAATATATTTACTGGATTTATAATATTAAATACATTTTTTGTGTCATTTTGACTAATTGATCATTTATGTCTGTAATATATTTGAGAAGTGCATACTGTAAATACTAAATTGCATCCTTACTGAGGTATTTGATTGTGCATAGGTGGTGAAATGATTGAACGTTTAGAATTTCAAGCCTGGTGAAATTCAAGAAAAAAAAGCATGGGAGCAAAATGTTTGCATGTATAGTAGATTAACACTTTTGTGCTTTCTGTATATTACCCTGGGCTGAATTACCAGCAGTGGAGCCAAGACCTTTCTTAGTGATGAATTAAGGTTTTAGTTTTTCAATCACCCTGATAGAAGTTGTACAAATGTGCAGAATGACACGCTAATTTGTACTGTACAGTATGTACAAATTAATAATAATAATAATAATAATAGTAATAATAATTTATAACTCTACTCAAGCGCTTTACAGGTAATGGGGATCCCCTCCAGCACCAGTGTGCAGCCCCACCTGGATGATGCGACAGCAGCCATAGTGCGCCAATACACTCACCACACACCAGCTATCACTGGGGAGGAGAACAGAGTGATGAAGCCAATTCATAGAGGGGGATTATTAGGAGGCCATGATTGGTAAAGACAAATGGGAAATTTGGCCAGGACACCGGGGTTACACCCCTACTCTTTTCAAGAAACACCCTGGGATTTTTAATGACCACAGAGAGTCAGGACATCAGTTTTACGTCTCATCCGGAGGAAGGCACCATTTTACCCATTTGTCCCTGTCACTATACTGGGGCATTAGGACCCACACAGACTTCAGGGTCCCACTAACACCAGTTCCAGCAGCAACCTTAGTTTTTCCCAGGAGGTCTCCCATCCAGGTATTTGCCAGGCTCACACCTGCTGAGCTTCAGTGGGTTGACAGTTGTGAGTTGCAGGGTGATATGGCTGCTGGATGATAATAGCTGTTATTATGCCCATTTGCTAAATGCACAGACCATTCAATCTACATTTAGGCAAAACTGTTTGAAAAGATTTAGAGAATATAGAGATTCACAGATCGAGACAGGAGATTAAATAATTTTAGGTTTTGGAAGGTAGGAGGCATTCCTCCTTAAACTACAAGGGGGAGAAACACTTTGAAATGACCGAGTTTATAAATAACATCGTTTCTGGCATGTGTTTTGGTCTTTTTTTTAAGCAGTAGCAAATGGGCATAATCACAGCTATAATTTTAACATACTGTATGCAGCATGCAATATAGCCAGTCAATAAAAACGGTATTTTGCAAAGGTAATTTGGAAAACAGTATGTGATCATAGAACAAACACCAAATACCATTGCCTGCATAATTAAACGTTAAAACATTTCTCTTGCATTAATATCAAAATGCATACCCTTGATTCATTGACATTAATATTCTCCTAGACCTACCCATGTCTATTGGAATCTTAACCATAACCCTATGGTTCTACTGCTAGTCATCTGCCAGTCTGTTTTCATTTGAATATGAATATGGAATCTTATGAATGTTTTAATTTTTTAGAATGACATGCTTCAAACCTCATCAGTAGAGTTAAGTGAGCAAGAAGTTAATAATTAAGAGCATTACTTTATCAGAAAAATAAAATGTTGTGTTCCCTAGCAAGTTGTATTAGCTGCCTGTAACTGAAAAATAAGACAGGTTGAATTTGAAGCATCGTGTGATACTTAATTGTATTTATAACCTTTTTTTTTCTGGATCTGTAGTACACAGGTGACTGCATCATGAAGAAATATACATTAAGCAATGCTTAACAAACTGTTAAGCTACTAATATAATTAATAGAAAGCTCTTATTAAAGGGTAAAAACTTGAACATCTTGCACCCTCTACTGGTGTTATATGGAATACTTGGAAAACGTATCTATGGAAATGTTCTAGAATTCAGGACAAACCCCAGTTGAATGTATTCAGATGAATTGTATTATTGACTCGTACTGTACATGCTTTGTAATTGCAAATTTTTTTACTGATAGATAAACAAACACAAAATACAAAATGTTAATTTCATTTAGCTGCCATTGTCTGTGTAACACCATTCAAAAGTACATTTGAGGTGGATTTTAATAATAATTAATAATTGCTTAGACTTATATAACACTTTTCTGGACACCCCACTCAAAGCTTTACAGGTAATGGGGACTCCCTTCCACCACTACCAATGTGCAGCCTCACCTGGATAATGCAACAGCAGCCAGTACGCTCACCACACACTTCACACCAGCTATCAGTGGGGAGGAGAGCAGAGTAATCAACCCAATTCATAGATGGGATTATTAGGAGGCCATGAGTGGTAAGGACCAATGGGAAATTTGGCCAGGACGCCAGAGTTACAACCCTAGTCTTTTCAAGAAACGCTCAGGGATTTTTAATGACCACAGAGAGTCAAGACCTCGGTTTTACGTCTCATTCGAAGGACAGCACCTGTTTACAGTATACTGAATGTATTACAGTATACACTATACTGGGGCATTAGGACCCACATGGTGAGTGCCCCCTGCTGGCCCCGCTAACACCTCTTCCAGCAGCAACCTTAGTTTTTCCCAGGATGTCTCCCATCCAGGTACTGACCAGGCTCACACCTGCATAGCTTCAGTGGGTTGCCAGTGGTGAGCTGCAGGGTGATATAGTTGCTGGCTACTCTCACTGAATTCTTATAATTTAAATGAGCAGGCTTAAAACAATTCAATATCAGCTGTGACATTCAGTGTGTTTATTTTATTAAGCTGTTGTAGTGTACAGCACATCTGTTTCCCTGCATCAGGCAAGTTGATCACAGCCACTTACCTGTAATGGTTTTCATAATTTTCCTAAGATCAGAAAACGTTTTCAGGAAAATTACTGTCAGTAAAATACAAACACGAGGACAGGACAGGTGGTATCTTGCTATTAGGTGTCATTCACATCACATGACATTTTACCTGATGTTTGAGAAAAATAGAAAGGGGAAATGTTTTAAATCCAGAAAAAAAAGTGAAAGTGTTAGGAATTTTGTTTATGGCTTCGCTAATAAAACGTATTTCGCATTATGGGACAATCAATACACGAACTGATTAAAGTAGAGTAATTGTAGGAATTTATGATTTAGAATTGTTTTCTGCTATGTGAAAACTGGAACTGATGTCTCCTGGACAAAAAGTCAAGCTAAAAAAACTCACAAAAAAGGTCTGTTGTTTATGAGGTGTTGTGTTTTTGCTTTGTAGGACACAATGGATATTCACAGTTCTTCACATAAACCTGTGGTGGAGAAACTGAGCACTTCCCATCACAGTGTTGGAGCAGTTCAAATGAGGATAAAGAGCTCAACAACCAACTGTGACCGGCTAAGTCAGACCAAGTCTATGGTTTTGCCTGATCCTGGACAACCTCAGAAACCTGTAAGTATCACAGAAAATACATTTTAATTTAGATTTTTTAAATAGTGTTTCATTTAATATAACACAGCAAAAAATGGCAACTAAAATGAGAAATGTATTTTTGCTAAGATAAATTATTGTCAGTGTTGTTTTTTTTCTGAGTTTAGTTGATATTATTTTTCACATATTGTACATTTTTTCCTCATCTGTTACATGGATTCCTGCTGCTTTTTCAAACATTTATAAATTCAGATAAATGGAATTTGGCTTGATGAGGCTACTCAACTTAAGCAGAATATACATAAAGATACAAAATACATCTAAAATCCATCAAGATGTTTTTAAGAATAAAAAATCCATTTGAGTATGAACTCGGTATGAAACAAAATATTGAAAAACCTCTATTGTTCCATTTATTTCTTGATTTATTAAATTAAAATAAAATCTGAAACAAATGTGGTCAGACTGTTTTAGAATTTGATCAAAAAAGACAAAACTGGAGTCAATTTTATTATCATTCAGTTAACTCCTTCTAAATATAATAACAGAATACAGGGACAATGGCAAGTTATGACAAATTATTCTATCAAAGAGATATTTTCCTTACTGCTTGAAAAGTTATTATTATGTGTTCTAAAAAATATGATTCAAACTGAACTATAGCTGAAAGAGCTCGATCTTTTAAAGTGTATCATAAATTGTTTTAATGGAATCCTTGGGCAAAAGTTATTTGAAAAAATTTTTAGGTGTACAGTACATGAAGATAGGAGACTAGCGACTTTCAACATGATTTGTATCTGGGTCAAGACTGTTTCTGTTTTCATCTACTGGTCACCAAACACAGAATTACTGTCTTTCTTTTCTGCAGCTGCTGTCTTGATCAAGAACACACACACACAGAATCAAAAAACCCCATGGAAACAGTACACATGATCATTTAGTTGAAAAAGACAATCTAGAAAAAAAACTAAAATAAATATTAAATATTAAAATTTAAGTTACACATTGAGAACCTAAGCAAATTGTTTGAATACTTATGCAGTGTACTGTACATATGACTTTTTCCATTTTTCCTTTTGCTTTTAATTTGTGAATTGGTTGTGAACATAAGACATATTAATTACTACCTCAAAGTGTTAAGTCAGAAAGCTTTTAAGCAACAGAAAGTGTAAACTGTCTGAAAACTTTTTACAAGTCACCGTATCCCACTGAACTACAGCAAAAAGGCCTAATCCACTGATATTCACTCCAGCTCCTGGATGCCATAGTCCCACAGTTACCCTTTAGGTAATTTATCATCCTTAATGATTACAGGCCTGGTAACATCACTGATAGTGACCAAATAAGTGAACCATGGTTTCAAGTCAAGTCATTAAGAGTGCAATGTGGAATGAAAATCCGAGTACACAATGGAACTCCAGGTCCAGGAGCCAATATCTGTGGGCTCTCTCTAACCAGGTGCCTTAGAGAGTATAAAGGTTCAAGAGTCACATGTACCATTAATTGATTTCTGCATACCCAGTTGCAGAGAGTTGAAAAAGCTTTTATTGTTGCTCAGCAAACATCTTTTTGCCTTATGTGAGGAGTAATTAAGACCAAATCTGAGGAGGATTTGTTAAATTCCATCATAGGTGCTCTTACAATTTAAGAAAACATAAATCCATCTCATGTTTACGTATAGTACTGTATAGAGGCTCCAATAAGTAGGATTATTTCTTCATCAAATGTCGTCATGCTTACTGGAAACACAGTGTAGAGCTCTCTGTGGAGTTACATAATCACTGTTTTTCTGTCAGTTCAGTTTTTTGCTGTACTTTTGTGGAACTTGTGGTTTCTAGTCCTGGTTTTAAGTCTTCTTTCAATAAGTGATTGAACATATAAGAACATACCTGTGTAAAGAGTATTGATGCTCAGTGGAGTCTCCATAGATGTCTATGTGGTGAAGCTGCAACACACTGAATTTAGAGTTTCAATAACAGCCTTTGACAACTGAATTCATTGTTTGCCAGTTACTCTGTTCTAAAGTATTATAACTAAATCTAAAGAGAAAAATAAAGTTCCTGTACAGGCTAATTTAAAAACTGTCCTTTGCATCTTTGGGCGTTTTCAGTTTTATGGTTAAATCATTTTTGCCTGATAGTTGCACTTGATAATATTACCACGTCCTGTTATGAAACGTCAGGTCGTGTGATTTACGTTTATTGATTGTCCTCTTCTTTCTTTCCCTGCTTTGTTGTCTGTTTTAGACAATAGTGCAGCTTCTTGGCCAGGTCATCACTGAAAAGGAGAATTTGTTCTCAATTGACTTATCTGGTTAAATAAAGGATTACAAATAAAAATAAAAGGCTCTATTTAAGTATTGATCTTAAAATGGGAAATGTCCACTTTTATGGAAAATAGATTAGATTAAATGTACATGATTACAATAGAGAATAATGTTCTGTCACTCGGGGATGTCAACATAATGAGAAGTTAAGCAGGTCTCGTCAGATGAGGCCCTGTACATTTGTGGACGTGTGTCTATTAAAAGAAGGCAGTTTTTTGTGTTGGAAAACAGTAAACTGAACCACTTATTATGTTTTCATAGCATTTAGTGAATACAGCCCTTTGTCTGAATTAAAGTAATTACTGTATATAGTTACAAAATTAAAATGTATGGCATGATTACCATTGTCTGTAAGCAAGACAGAGAAGCGTTTGGAATGTACAATTGTATCCCCTCTAAATGATCCCCATGGGAATTAAATCCAAGGGAAAATGGGCACATAGTTTAAGTTGTGATATAATTAAACAGTGTGTGATCTGTCAAGCAAAACTTTTCACATGTAACTTGCCTGATACTCAGTACAGTGTCCTTTGTCTTTCTATAGATGGGTTGGCGGCAAAGAAAATGATTTTGTTCATTGAGTAATCATTCAGTATTTAAGTAATGGCAGTGAAATTAGAAAACAATTAAAGAATACATCTGTGAGACATCATACACTCATATTGTATATTGTATGTCAATAAAGCATAAATAAGGGATGTGCTAAGCATGAACAAAAGTGCTCTTGTAATGTTTCTGTATAATCATTAATTTATTGATATATTGCTTTTTATGTCAAAGGATCTCGGGGTGCTCTACATATTGACTATGCAGCACCCTCCTAGCTGTCAATTTCATACAGTAAACCAAGTATGAACACCGTTTTCCAAATTATGCTCTTTGTAAAGTGGTGTTCAAACTGAAAAAGTCTCAGTAGCTTTTGAAAGGGGTACGGTGCAGATACGTTCTAAGTCTGTGGTATGAATGTAACTTAATGACAAATTTCAGTTTGTGGCTTAGCTAAAAAGACGTGCTGTTAAACGTCTGAATGTGAGAAATTGAGAGGAGGCCGTTCAGCAGAGTAAGATCATGTGGTCACAATATCTGTCACAATTTGTACATCAGCCTCTAAGAAAATGATGTCCACAATGTTCTGCAAATAAATTCCTGAACAAAACTTATTTAATTTAGCAGAACCTGTTACATTTAGTGCCATGGGAATGATTAGAAGAAAGAAGATATTTTTCACTGATGCCGTCTTACTTTGTTAGGTAGCCCAAGTCCTTTTAGGAGTTAACTGTAAAAATTATTTTAGCTTTCTGTATTAAAAGGAGTCAATACCCAGTTTAACAAGTCAGAGATTTTGTTAGAAGGCCTGGAAGTTTTTCTAGGTTAGGTTTTGTTTCTGCTTTTTTTATACAGAAGCTTGAAAACATCACAGCATGAGGTTGCAAATGGAATTATTTAGAGAAATTGCAAGTGATCCATCTCTCCCGGAATTATACACCTCAATAGCCTGCAGAACTCAGCTACCAATTAACACCTACTTTATTACATGTTGGGATGTTCTTAATGTTCCCGCATGTGTTTATGCACTATTACCTTGACGGATGCCTCTTGTACAATTAGACATAATTGGCATATCAATATGCGAAAGCTAAATGGATTAACCCTCTTAAAAACTAATGAGCATTTCCATACCCAGCTGGTAAATGGGACAGAATTAGCATTTGTCACTTTTTTGGCAAAAAATAACATTAAAAAAATGAGACAGATTTTATCAGAATTACCTTTGTTGGGTTCCTAATATTTCCAAGTTAAACTAAGGTACTTTCTTCAGGATGTTGTTGGTGTGATCAGACATCACAGCAGGAAGTGCATATCAAGATTACAGTTCAAGCACATTTTCTAATCCAAATCGATGAAATTGATGAAATCAACAGTAATTATAATATTATACATGCAAAAAAAGCAAACTAACCTGGCTATGGCATTCCATAGTCGTATTAACATACAAATGGTTCCAGCTTTTCAGTAGTGGTCTTTTCAGTAGAGGTCATTTTAATGGAGATATACAGTATCAGTGGTATTTTGCTTTGTACAAGTGCTACAGGCCTGCTTTAAATAGGAACGTTCACATATCCACTTATCACAAAGAAGATATAGAGTACAGCATTTGTTCAGAATCAAGTGCTTCTGGTTGATGCCAACATAAAGGATGTGTAAATCTGCACATGTGTAGGGGAGTGAGGGAGTGGGGCAGTAAGCAGTTTGATGTTGTTGGCCATTTTTGGCCATGTGTTCAGTATCTTAGGGTCAGCTCAGTCCTCTCTGTACAGTATCTCCGCCTGCTCCTGCTCACTGTCCTTCGTCATGGTAATGGGCTCGCTTTCCTGCTCCTTCACATGCTCAGCCAGCAGTGCTTTGAAAGCAGCTTCTTGCACTACAAGAATCCTTCTGATGTAAACATCAGCCTCAATGGAAAAGAGCAATCTGTCAGTGGTAAACAGCGGAAGTGTATCCATCATTCGCTGTCATGGCTAACAGTCTTGGCCAGTGAACCACGCTGTTGACATGCTCTGTTTTGCTGTTGCTGTTGTTAAGGCACGTACTGTAGATGGCCTGGCATGCTAAAAAATATATCTGCCACTGCAGTGGTTTAAACTGCTGTGGTTTGAGGCTTTCTTGATTTCCTCCAGCAGTTCTCTTGTACTTT